GCAGGGAGAGCCTCCCAAGGCGCTGGGCAATCCTGCCTGTTCCCTTCTTGCCCTTTCCTGAATTAAAACCCCAGAGCTGGTGGCCAGCTCCATCCCCCCGAGCCCTATAAATCCCAAGGCAAGCCCGGGAGACCTGCCAGCATCTGGGAATGAGCCCTGGGATAGCTGAGGAGGGGGAAGAGAGCACAGGGGGGCTTTGCATGGTGTTGGGGCTGGGGAAAATTGAGCTGATGGAGAGGGCAATGGTGTGGCACACAGCTGGCGAAGGGATGGGACTGGGTGACTCCCAGTAGCTGCAGGGAAGAGCATCCCAGCAGGGATGGAGCTCAGCGAACAGGCAGCTGCCAGGAGAGAGGGGGGCCTGGGCCACCCTCCCTCAAAAATAACTGAATGGATGCGCAGAGAGCCCGGGGGCAGCGGGGTGGCCCTGCAGAGCTGGCTGATTTGTTTGGGCAGCGTTTAGAGGAAGGCCAGGGCACAGCCAAGCATCACAGAAGCAGATCGATTAACCCCATCCAGCTCCCGCGACCCAGACTGCAAGTGCCCAGCACTGCGAGGCAGCTGCTCCCGAGCCCGGAGGGGTCTCGGGCAGAAAGGGTCGGGGTCAAGTCCACACAGCCATGCCCTGGGCTTGCCCTGCACTGGCACCATTGTGCCTGCCTCAGTTTCCCCATCCCCAAAAATGGGTGATGAGCACCCGTCTATGCAGCAGGCTTCGCTGCTGCTGGGCAAGGCATCAATAGCTTAAATCGTGCTGGGGCTGAGCATCCCCACGAGCAGGACTGACCCAAGGGCAAATCCCTTCCTCATTTCACCAGGGAGGGAAGAAACTGGCTTCCTCCTTTTTTTTTGGGGGGGGGTGTCTTTGCTCATCTGAATTTGCCTTTAATGATGAGCATCTTTCCCGTGCAATAGGAATGCTCACAGCGGGCTGAGAAAGGGTTTCACATTGCGGGGATACGGCAGGAGCTCTGGCGGGGATCTGGGGGGATGAGGAATGAGTTCCTTCGTCAGGACAGCCTGAGGACAGGGCTGACCCATCCCCAGGGGACACGATGGAGTAGGGTCTGCTACCTACAAGGTTTTTAAAGGCTTGGACCCTTCGCTATCCTTGCCACAAGGTGGAAGGAAGGATAAAGCTCAGAAGTAACCCAGGGATGGACCCTCGTGGCAGGACAGAGACCTGGGCTCAGCATCCGGCTGCAAAGGTCTAGAGGATATAAACTCCAGGGTGAAAAAAATAAGTGGCAGAGAGGGAAGGAAAATGGACAAATATGGTCAAATCAGGGGAAGGAAAATAGAAGATGTCTGTGAAAAAGCAGCCTGGGCTTTTGGGCTGTGGAGGCAGTAGGTGATGGGATGTAACGGTGGTACCCAAACTGATGCGGAGCTGAGCAGGTGGAAATAACTCTGCTCTTGGAGCTCCCCAGTGGCTGTGACTCCATGGCAGGGGGAAAATAGAAATAAAATGTCCCTGAGAAGCGCAGGATGGAGCTGGCAAGTGGCTGAAAGGGTGGTGAATGCCCTTGAGGGCTGCTGTTGGGATGGGTGGGGATGCTGGAGCAGTAGCAGGTCTGTCCTGGGGAAGAGCATGGATCAGGATCCTTCCTCACTCACAGCTACTGCAGAAACCTTCACAGCATCCTGGCCAGGCTGGATGTTAGGGTCTTTTGTCCAGAAGTCTGTTGTTTCCATCTCTTTTATAGTCAATAAGGTTATTCCTAGAAGTTCAGAGAAAGCAGAAGCAAGGAATGCCCTGGGGACAGATGTCCCTTTAAACAGACTTCTCTTGTTCCTCTGCAATTAAATGTAAGGATGATTTAGCAGCAGATAACTTAGGTTCCAGCCTTTCTAGGATGTCTATGTGCTGCAGAGACCAAGTAAGGTGCTGTGGGAGGCAGAGGAGGGGAGCAGCACCATCCCCTCCCTGAGCCCATTCTGGGACCTTTGGGCAGAGCCCTCGGCCAGTGGAGCAAATGTTTCCCCGCTGAAGGGCCATCAGGGAGCTAATGGCATGAAACAGGTCCCAGGTTATGGTTTTCCCATTTGCTTTAAATAACTGAAACATCTAGCAACCTCAGGAATCACAATTTTCATTATCAGAAATAGCATTTTCAATACCCTGCCATAAAGATCATGGAATCACAGAGTGGTTTGGGTTGGAAGGGACCTTAAAGATCATCCAGTTCCCCCCCCTGCCATGGGCAGGGACACCTCCCACTAGCCCATCTGCTTTTGCCAGACCCACACCATTAATAAAGCAGCAGCACCTTCATGCCCCAGGTCCATGAGATATTTCATGATGGACCTTAGCACACCCTGGTATTTCCACCAGTTTTGGCAGCACAGTGTCCACACTGGAAGTCAAATCATAGAATCATTGAACAGTTTGAGTCAGAAGGGACCATGGAGGTCATCTAGTCCAACCCCCATGCAGTGAGCAGGGACACCTTCCACTAGATCAGGTTGCCCAGAGCCCCATCCAACCTGACCCTGAATGTTTCCAGGGATGGGGCACCTACCACCTCCCTGGGCAACCTCTTCCAGTGTTTCACCACCGTAAGCAGAAAATATTTACTCCTTATTGTATGTATGCTTAGGTACACTTCAGTATTACCATAAAGCTTTCTCCTTCCCTGTGCTCACTGTTATTGGTTTTGGCCGCAGCTGGGAGAACGGTACCTCTATGTCTGCCTGGACTTTTGGACGTGAGATGCAGCCTTTTGAATTTCTTTCTGCAGCAAAACACTGTTTCGTGGTGACTACCATTTACTGAAAAATGCCAAACCCCCACCCCAGCACCAAAGGATTTATGCTCTTAAAGAAACACATGAAGTCAGGTGAGGGCAAAGACGGTGACATCCAAGCCAAGTACTCTGTGTGACAGACACCCCAGCCAAGTGCTCAGAATAACAGTGTGACGGCACGATGGCACGCCTCGTCTTTCTTTACACCCGCAGCGGGCCAGATCCTCAGCAGATCCAGCTTGCTGGGCTGCAGTGGAGTCACACCAGCTCACGTATCCCTCCGGGGGTTATTTCCAGCATCTCAGGCTTCTCAAGGTCAGCACAGGAAAGGCGCTCGCATGTAAGCGTGTGTTGGTGCTGGGGAAGAAGAGACAGACAGCAGGAGCAGGGACGTTAGAAACTCTAAAGTAACCTTAACCCCAGCCGAGCACAGACACGAGGATCGCTCCAACAGCAACATTTTGGATTCAGTTGGTTTTCATCAGGAGCAAATCATAGAATCACTGAATGGTTTGGGGTGGAAGGGACCTCAAAGCCCATCCAGTGCCACCCCCTGCCATGGGCAGGGACACCTCCCACTAGCCCAGGTTGCCCAAAGCCTCATCCAGCCTGGCCTTGAACCCCTCCAATGGCCCCGATATTCAGCAGCTCCCACCCCTCCTGTCCCCAGCTCCAAGCGGTAATTAACGGTGCATTAGTGCCTGTCGTTAGGAGCTGTCTCCAGACTGCTGGGGTGAGCCCAGTCCTTCCCAGCACCCTTGACGCCATGAGGCGGTAGATCAGAGGAGCTGGGAACTGGGACGAGCAACGGTTGTGGTTGCTTAGAGTCCAGGATGGCAAGAAGCCTTGCTGGCTTTTGAAGCCCCACCAGCAGCCCATGGAGTTGCTCGTTGAGTTTTTCCACCCCTCAAGACCACCAAAATGTGCAGTGTGATAGCAGCCCAGGAGAGCCGAGCTCTCAGCCCACTTTCCGGGAGGAGCGATGGTTTACGGAGGGGGGGGAAACGCAGGAGCGACAGCCCTGTGATGGCATGGTGGAGGATCGCGGGCTGGAGAGCTCTTGGCCATTCACAGAGCAAATAAACCCAAGGGTCCCCTCCAGAGCTCCTTATGTGTAGGGACACAGAGCTGTGCACAGAGACGGGTTTCCAGACACCCAGCTGTGGGCTGCAGGCTAAAAGCACAGCTGCCTTAAATACAGTCTCGTTAGGCTCATTATCAACAACACATTTGTCTTCTCCTGCAAGCTGAGGCAGCGCTTTGTACCCACACAGTGAGTTCCCTGCTCCCAAAACCCCTTGTTTTCCCAGAGCAGGGAGAGGGGAGGCAGCTGCTGGGGAAGGGATCAGAATGGCAGGAGTCAAGGGGAGCGCGTGGAGAGGAGGCTGAAGGCAAAGCCCCCGTGGGAGGAAGGGCAGGAGATGGTGGTCAGGGGGAGGAGAGAATGAACCCTCGGACACCAGCATGGCAGAGGTGTTGGGGATGGGGGAGGACAGGGTGAGCTGGGGATGGGGGAGGACAAGCTGAGGCAGGTGACAGACAAGCAGGAACAGAGAGAAAGGCTACCACTGCCTTTGATGGATGTTTATTTGCATGTTAAAGCACAAAAGCAGGCTGTGCTTCATGGAAGGCTGGGTGTGGAAGAGGAAAGGAAACCTCTAAGTTGTCAAGCTGGACCAGAGATGAGCTTTGCCTTGTCCAGGGTGGGACAAGGGACAAAAATCCCAAAATAATTTTAGACAAAGTGAGAAGGGTCAAAGTGATCATAAGAAAAGAGTCTGTGACTGAGGAAACACCACCCTTGGGTTGGGGGGGTTCAGCCATGTGACCGTGGGGACCTGTCCCCCCCCTTGCGCTGGGAGATGTCTGTGAGCATCCAGGAGGTGAGGCCACCCTGCAGAGATGTGGGAGCTGGGGCTGCGGGTGGTTTGGAAGGAGAAACGCCTTTTCATTGTGCCACCGGGGCCCTGACACTCGTCTGGCGCTTTGAGGCTGTGTTGCAGTATAAATGATAATGGACAGTAAGGGATGGTTTGCAGGAGGCGACCACTGAAGGTGTTTGGGGAAATAATACAGGAGGAGAGGAAGAGGACCAAGGACTCATTGAGGATGAGGGATCCAGGGGACCAAGGTCAGAGTGGCTGGGGGAGAACGAGGGAAGGGAAAGGGCAGGGGGATGCTGGAGATTGGGGGATGCAGGCAGAGCTCCCAGACAGAGGGGCAGGAGTGGAAAGCAGTCCTATATATCATCGTTTGGGCTCAAACAGCAGGAAAGAGGAGAGGGGAAGGACAAAAAAAGGAACTGGGAGGAAATGGTGACACTGGGGAGAGGGCAGCCCCGGGCGCCCCTCGCTAGGGATGCTGAGCAGCAGCAGCAGGAGTGGGGACAGAGGGAGAGAGGGTGGAAAGCTGAGGGCAGGCACTGCTCAGGCAGCCGTGGGAAAGAGCCGAAGTGCCGGTCACGAGTGCGAGCTGGTGTCAGGTGGGAGAGGCTGCTGGGAGCACTGGGAGAGGGCTGGGCATGGAAATGAGGGCATGGAAAACTCGGGGGAAAGGAGGGGCAGGAGGAGAGGAGCGGGGGAGAGCTCTGCAAAGGCAAAGCAAGGGTTGCAGAGCTTGGTGTGCTGGCCACGCCGGTCTGCTGGGAAAACCTCTGTCTGACTGGTGAGCACTGGTGGCAAACCCCAGCTCGCCTCCGGCAGCATGTCATCTTCCAGCTGCGGCTGAGTTACAGCAAAGAAAGGGCCAAAAGGCATTTGCTCTGCGTGGGGTTTGCCTCTGGCAGCCCCAGGGTTGGGAAGAGGAGAGCATGCGAGAGGTTCAGAGAGCCTGCCGGGAGCAGCAGGAGGGATTTTTGGGCTGAATCCAGCCCCCCTGGGCAGCAGGGGACCTCCACGCTTCTCACCGGTGGGCGAGGAGGTGCCCAGGGGTTTTCGGGAGGATGCTAAACCAACCGAACCATTTCCAAGGTGAGTCATCCTGGATGCACAGCTGACACAAAAAGGCGTGAGGGATCCCAGGCTGCCAGCTCGCTGCCTTTCCAGAGCCCATCCCTGCTGCTGGGAGCAACAGCCAAGTGTGCCACAGAGCCAGGCACCGTTTGTGATGCCTCCTGTCCCCACTCCCAGAAGGATGCCCTCAGCAGCAGGGTGATGGGTGGATGGCCCCGGCTCTGGCTCCAGGCTCCCAGGAGCGGGGTGCAACAGAGGGGGAGGACATGACACCCCAGGATTTAACAGGAGGAGGAAACCAGAGCTCCTGTTCTTGCCCGTGTGCCTGCCGGTGCCAGCTCCTGTGAGCCTCGTCCCAGCAGCATCCTCCCCACCCATGGTCCAGGATTAATGAAGACCAGGGGGTGCTTGTGCAGAGAGGTCTTCCCTGCTGTGACAGAGGAGGGGACATTGCTCGAGGGTCTGAGACGTGGTTTCGGAGACCCCGTGAACCAGCATGGCTCAGTGG